AAAGATAACTTTGTTTTGAGAGAAAGAAAATCAAATCAAGTCTAGACTTGAACCCAGTCTCTCCAATCAGTGGGAAGGAGAATTCCAGGAGACAGTTTCTGTCTAGCAATCATAAGGTACTAACTCGTTTTGCAACTCATTTCACCTCCCCCTTTTTTTCTTTTATTTTAATGGGAAAAAGTTCCAGGCTATCACTTTTCCTTTGACTGGGGAGGAAAACTTTTTTTTTTTTCTAAGGTAGTGACTTTTCATATTTATGGACATAAATTATAATGATGGGGGATGATTATAACTTTATAATGAAGATATCCACTTTCTGAATATTCCTGTTCTTAGTCAGGTTTACTTAGTTGTTTACAAGACCAGAGGTACAATCATAATAATTTATTTTGATATGCTGAGTAAAAAAGGTTTGATATTGAATGGATTTAACAGTAAAGTATTGCTAAAATAACACAGATCTTTTTGAAAGGCATTTAAGTAAACTAAAAATGCCTTAAGAATTTTTCCTAGGGAAACACTTATTTGCTGCACAGATACAAAGAATGCATCACTTGGACGGAGAAAAGATGGCTGTTTGCTTCCTAAGCAGCCTTTTGTCAATGCATCTTCTCAGGCTTTGCTTAACTTTCTGATTCCCCAAGCTGTAGATGATGGGGTTAAGCATAGGGGGTGACAACTGTGTAAGACAGGGCAACCATTTTCTTCATATTGGGTGAGAGGCTGGATTTAGGTCGCAGGTGAATGATGCCAGCTGTGCTGTAGAAAAGAGTTACTACCAACAGGTGAGCTGCACGGGTGGAAAAGACCTGCCTCTGGCCCAGAGCTGAGGTTATCTGTAGAACAGGCACAGATAATGTGAAGGTAAGAATTAACTATTAGTGAAAAGGAAACCATCACTATCATGACAGTAGCAATAAAAATCAGTAGTTTAAACAAGGCTGTATCTGCACACACCAGCTTCAACACAGGAGAAACATCACAAAAGAAATGATCTATGTTGTTTGTCCCATAGAAGGGTAAGGTAAACAACCATGTGGTGAAGACCAGAACAACAGGTACACCAGTAAGCCAAGACCCAACAGCCATCTTGAAGCAGAGATCCCTGTTCATCGTGGTGAGTTAATGCAGAGGCTGGCATATTGCCACTTGCCGATCCTAAGCCATTACACCTAAGACGAAACACTCACAAGTGACAAGAAGTATAGCACAACTGAGTTGCAGGGCACAGGCTGTGAAGGAAGTAATTTTTCTCTCCATCAGCAGAATCAATAGCACTTTGGGCACAGTGCTCAAGCTGTAGCAGATTTCTGTCAAGGCAAGATTCTTTAGGATGTAGTACATGGAATTGCGTAGGACAGAGTCAATGGTTGTGATCTCCACTATTAGAGAGTTACCTATAACAATGTACAAGAACATGATGGAAATCACTATGAAAAATAGGAGATGCATCTTGCCATGTAGGGCAAACCCCAGAAGTAAGAAGTGAGTGACAATGGTTTGGTTTCCTGGCTTCATTTCCTCAGCAAGACCCATCCTAAAAGAAAAAAGCAACAAACAAACAAACAAAACAAAACAAACAAACAAGAAACAAAACAACAACAACAACAAAAAATACCACACACACTACTAAAAGATTAGTAGCTTAGAACAGACATGGTCTTGGAAATAGCTACAGTTGCAAGTAAGATGAGGCTTAAAACATGAGATGAGGCTTAAGATTGGGTATGACAGTGACTCCAGAGTAAAAGAGATCATTTGGGAAACCTGTACAAGAACATCTTTATCAGTCACAGCCTGAGAATCGTCTCTAAATTAGGTGAAGACAAAAGAGACATACACATTTCTAATAACCATTTGGAATTTATTTTATACAGAAAGAAGTAGAAACCTCCAAAGTGCAGGTCATCTTATCATACGAGTGACATCTGTGATTAGCCAGAATTTCACCTTTGGATGGGCTGGATGTCTCTTCATTAACTTCAGTATCTAAATGTCTAGAGTCACCTAAATGTGAACCAGTCAACGTAAAAACAATTTATATTTGATGAAGAGAAATATAGCATAATACAGAAACACAATTTATTTGTAAGATGAATACAGAATAAATCAAGTCAAGTTTAAATTTATAAAAATGTTCACAGAATCACAGAATCATCTAGGTTGGAAGAGACCTTCAAGATCACCTAGTCCTACCTCTGACCTAACACTAACAAGTCCTCCACTAAACCATATTACTAAGCTCTACATCTAAGTCTTTTAAAAACCTCCAGGGATGGTGACTTAACCACTTCCCTGGACAACCCATTCCAGTAACCCTTTTGGTAAAGAAGTTTTTCCTAATATCCAACCTAAACCTCCCCTGGCACAACTTTAGGCCATTTCTCCTTATCCTGTCACCAGGTACGTGGGAGAACAGACCAACCCGCACCTCACTACAGCCTCCTTTAAGGTACCCGTAGAGTGCAATAAGGTCGCCCCTGAGCCTCCTCTTCTCCTGAACAAACAAGCTGAACAAACCCAGCTCCCTCAGCCACTCCTCATAAGACTTGTTCTCCGGACCCCTCACCAGCTTCATTGCCCTTCTCTGGACTCTCTCGAGCACCTCGATGTCCTTCTTGTAGCGAGGGGCCCAAAACTGAACACAGTACTCGAGGCATGGCCTCACCAGAACCAAGTAGAAGGGGACGATCACTTCCCTAGTCCTGATGGCCACGCTGTTTCTGATACAAGCCAGGATGCCGTTGGCCTTCTTGGCCACCTGAGCACACTGCTGGCTCATTCAGCCGACTATCAACCGATACTCCCAGGTGCTTCTCTGCCAGGCAGCTTTCCAACCACTCATCTCCCAGCCTGTAGTGCTGCTTGGGGTTGTTGTGCCCCAGCTGCAGGACCCAGCACTTGGCCTTGTTGAACTTGATACAGTCGGCTTCAGCCCATCGGTCCAGTCTATCCAGATCCTCCTGCAGAGCCTTCCTACCCTTGAGCAGATTGACACACTGTTCCAGTGTGCGACCACCCTATCAGTGAAGAACCTCTTCCTGATGTCTAGCCTAAACTTCCCCTGCCTCAGCTTGACACCATTCCCATGGGTCCTATCACTGGCGATTAAGGAGAATGGATCAACACCTGCCCCTCCAGTCCCCCTCATAAGGAAGCTGTAGACCACGATAGTGGAGAAAGTCCAGTGGAAGAACACAAGAACACCAGGGTGATTAGTGGTCGGACACACCTGGAGGACAAGGAGAGGCTGGAAGACTGTTTTCTTTCATCCTTAGGAAAGGAAGTCTCACGGATCTTGTTGCTGTCTACTACTATGTGGTGTGGCATAGGTGTAGAGAAAATGGAGGCCAATACTTCTCAGAGGAGCACAGTGATAAGATGAGAGGTGATCTATGCAAGTCAAAACATGGGAAATTTGAACTGGATACTAGGGAATATGTCTTCACCTTTAGGGTTTTTGGACAACTGAACTAGTTGCCCAGAGAGTTTGCTTAAATGTCCTCGAAATTGTTGAAAACTTTACTGGACAAGACGCAGTGCATTTGGCTTGTTTTGATCAGGGGAAGGAGAGTAAGCTTGCAGAGGTTCTACGTGTCTACAAAACTACTCTGAACATACTGGGTTTTAAAACCCAAGACCAATCTGGAGCTGAGCTGCCAGGAGCTTTATAAAGGAAATGTAAAAGCCACATTCCTAGAAAGATGCCTCTTTGTGATTTAAAAGTTCCCGTAGGATTTACTCTCCCACATTTGAACTTCTTGAACTGGAATTGAACACGTTATTTTTGTAAGCAGCTGAAACTTTTCCATAAGATTGAAAATTAAGCTTAAGATGTGAATTTTATTTTATTTTTTTAACTATGTGGTTAAAAACTCCTTCTTATCTGTGAAATTACAATAAAAATAAAACATCAAAAATCCTTATAGATCATAACAAATAGAACACATACTTGATTTCACAAATTTCAATATTTGAAGGAGATTTAGGAAATGCAGTGGCCCAAACTCTGCAACCAGCTGAGGTTGTCATCCGCTTCCATTTTTTTTCTTTAGTTTTGTAGGTGACTCATATATGCATTCTGTTCAGGGAGTATTTAGTTCTTTGTTCTGCAACTCAGCACGGAATCACAAAGCTAATCTCAAGAGACTGATGAAAGCAGTAGGAAATTTATTTCCCCCATGATGGGTATTTTGTACATTCTGAAAACTGATAAAAAAAAAAAAAAAAAAAAAAAAAAAAAAGCAAAGCCAAACAAACAACAACAACAACAACAAAAACTTTTTGTTTGTTTGTTTTTCCTCATCAGAAATTTCTAGTAGAGTTTACAAAGCTTCCTCCTTGTGTCTTACTTGAATATATGGAAGTCTTTTTCATCATGGCCACACTCTCATCTAGAAAAATAAGGTATGAAATAAAATAGCAGGACAGAAATTCTTAATCTTTGAATTCAGAATAAGTTGTTTTGTCCTCAGCTTTGTTTTCTGGCTTTCCCATTCCCTCATGGTTGGAGGGCTCTACTACAATCAGAAAAATACTGGTTGGTGGTGATGTGAGGCTTGTGCAGAAAAAAAAAAAAAAAAAAAAAAAAAAAAAAAAAAAGCAATTTATACAGTTGGAAAAATAGGCAAGTTTCAGCATGCAAAGACTTTTATTTGCATTTATATTTGAGCAAGTGTCTTCCCCCCATGCCTGAAAAACAAAAAACAAACAAACAAACAAACAAACAAACAAAGATCTTTGGGACTTACTCCACCCTGGAAAACAAAACAAACAAAAATTTGGGACATCTGTTTTCCTTTGACTAGATGTGTTTCTCCATTCACTGGAGGAAAGATTAGTCAGCATCTGTGACACAGAAGGAAAATGTTAGACATAGCAGAAAAAAATATCATTAAAGGAGTAGAAAAATGAGTAGAAGAAAGTGATTAGATCACCTGTAGTTAACTGAGAATAACAGGCAGAATCAGAGGGCATTGTGGGACACATCTTAAAGGAGTGATGTTTTTCCCCAGGTGGGTTTCAGTGAAAAACCCTTCTATGCTTAAAGGCAGCAAATAACATTTAAGAAATTGAAGTGTTTGTATTTCATAGAGAATAACACCTCTAACTCTTCAAATGCAGGTAACTGACTAACATTTTGATAAATCTAGAATAGTATTAAATCCAATGTTTCAAATATATATTATTCAAAAGATAACGCTAAACGTATTTTTAGCCAAATATGATCAGTTTTTTAGAGTGGGTGCATATATGTAGAAATTACCTTAGGCTTCATGCTCACATTCTTTTATTGTGAAATCGTTTTAAAAGTGTTTTGTTAGTTTATTGTTTTCATGCTAAAAGAATAAGCTATATGTAAAATAGTATGAGAAAGAGAGTGACTGGGTTGGAGATATATCATAATGACTTCTAACAACTACTTATTTTCGGTAAAAGTATGTAGTGGAATAACCAAGAAAGGCTATGAAATGTATCTATATGTGTTGTAACCTTTACAAGAAATATTTTGGAAGTAATAATTTTTCCATTGTTTATATTCATCAGTACTAATCATGCTACATTCAATACACAGAGAAAAATTCTCAGCTTGCAGAATTTGCAGTCTGTACTTTAAGTTAGAAATACTTGTGCCTATCTGCCCCAGCAAAATAACTTTGGGACTTTGCTTTTTATTCTATATGTGAAGGAATTATCCATAGTGCTAAGCAAACTTACTTGAGACAGAAAAAAGTGAGAGCATTTGCTTGCTCGCTTGTATTTTAAAAGACTAGAGATACTGACTATACCGATCATTAATGTCTTAGTGAGCCAGTATGATCAGCTTTCAGTGTGACGAGCAAATTTGGCTAAGAACTTGCACTAGCTAATTTGGCTCCTACAAACTCACTGTTGCTCCACCACAGTGTTGTAGGAGATCAGTTGCTGGCTTTTGTTCCATTCATGTGCTGCTACTCAATGAAAAGAAGTTGTTCAGGCAAAATATAAAATTCAATAACAGAAACAGCTTGTGATCACATGCTAAGGCATCATCTTCTTTTATTGACAGCAATGTACAAAAGAAATGTTGCTCACTGTATGGAACCTTGGAGCACCTTCTGTTGTCCATTTTTGATTAAAAAAATAAATAAACTGAAACTGCATATTTTTAAAGACCAAAGAACTATCTGGAAGAAATAGTAACCATTAGAAATGGGTAAGTTAAAATTGGCTTAAAGAAATGTAGGCGCAATAGTAAAAAGAAAGCATCAAGAGTGATTCACATTGTGAATCTTTATGAACTACGAAGTTTTATTGATGAGATTAAAGGTTATAGCAGGGAGTTACAGATGGGCAGAACTGAAATATTAATGTGGCTGAAGGTGAAGAAGCAGCAGTGTTTCATATTTTACATGTTGTCCTTACATATTCTTCCATATTATGCACGGATGGAAGTTTTTATTTTAATATTTAATCTCTGTAAAATTTTCACTCTTCTTTGTTTTTGTTCTAGACAGAAATCAGAAGACTGCACTATAGTTACTTTTGTTTGTGTTAAATCTTTGTGTTTGTATTCAGCTTTTATGTTTGGTTGCATATACATGTACAATGTTTTGTTCTTTCCTGCATTTGCTTGTATTAAAATAGTACAGAAACAGATAAGTATTGTAATACAGCATTGCTCACACTGTGAAACCTTGACATTTTGCTTTTGCTTCCTATTTTTCTAGCAATGCTGAACCGCACAGAGGTCAGTGAGTTCATCCTTTTGGGCCTCACCGATATCCAAGGTCTACAATACTTTTTCTTCATCTCCTTCCTGTTGCTCTACCTAACTAGTCTTCTGGGAAATGGTGTCATTGTGACCATGGTGATATCTGAGCCACGGCTCCACACACCAATGTACTTCTTCTTGGGGAACCTTTCCTGCCTGGACATTTTTTACTCTACAGTTACTGTTCCCAAGATGCTGACTGGTTTTCTCTTTGGGCATCAGCCTATTTCTTTTGCTGGGTGCTTAGCCCAGCTCTACTTCTTCCACTTTCTGGGCAGTACTGAGGCTGTGCTCCTGGCCACCATGGCTTATGACCGCTATGTGGCCATTTGCAACCCACTGTGCTACACCCTTGTCATGAGTCAAAGGACTTGTCTGCTGCTGGCTGTGGCCAGCTGGTCCATTGGTTTTGTACATGCCATGATGCATTCAATTATGACCTCTCAACTGAGTTTCTGTGGGCATAACCAAATTCATCACTTTTTCTGTGATATCAAGCCACTGTTGTATTTGGCTTGTAGTAGTACCAGCCTCAACATGATCCTCCTTAATGTTGTCACCACATCTATTGCTCTAGGCCCATTCATTCTCATAGTCCTTTCCTACCTATACATCATCTCCTTCCTCTTACAGAAAGTCCAGTCTCAGGAAGGAAGATGGAAGCCCTTCTCCACCTGTGCCTCTCACCTTACTGTTGTGGCACTACTGTACATACCACTATTCTTCAATTATACACCTCCATCCTTGAGCAGCTCCTCTATAACAGACATGCAGGTGTCTGTCATGTACAGTGCTATCACCCCAGCTATGAACCCCTTGATCTACACTCTTAGGAACCAGGAGGTGAGATCTGCCCTGAATAAAACATTAGGGAGAAAACTCTCCTGGTGGAAAGTGACCAAAAGAGGAACAAAATTCAGAATGTAATTACTCCACCATTCATATTTACAAGAGATCAAGAGGATGCTGTATTACAAGAGGCTAAAAAATCACTCATTATCTCATGTAGTTCAGCACATTACAATTTAATTGATTAGATGTAAATCAGGGGAAATATTCAAGGCCTTGGTGTTTATTCTGTCAGTGTAGGTGTCTTTTATTGTAGCCCATCTAGTCTCCAGCATCCAGTACAGAAGCATGTTTGTCTCTTGCAGGATATGAGCCAAAGCTGACAGTCCCATTCAGTAGTCCTGGAAAATACAAAGTATTATAGTATTACTTGATGGCTCTGATTAGGAAGCTCACACTCTGTATATCCCTAGAGAGCTAGTATGTGTTACATTCTGGATGTTGCATAGCCTGAGAATTTTGCCAACATTTGACTTGAGTCAGCTCTTTTTTGGGGGTCCATATCTTTTCATTAAGTATAAGGGGAGCCTTACTAATGAACTTGTAGTTAAATGTATGCTTAAAAATGGAGATGAGGATGAAGTGTACATTTTTAGACAACTACATCAAGACCTTTCACCTGAATTCCACCCTCCTGGCTATCTTCTACTTTTCTGCCCATCTTACTTACTCCTGACTGTGCTAAATACTTTTGTCAAGATTTCTGAAGATGCTGACCCCCAACTTCTAAAAAAGGCATCGTGAACAAGGCAGACATTCTTGCTGTCATAACACTGAACACATCACACTGAACAGTCAGCTTGGAATTCCGCACCCACTCTGAGCACTCAGATGCCCCTTCTAGCACTCTTGGACTTTAAGAACTGCTTGGACTTTAAGAACTGCCTAAGGCAGACAGAAGATTTGACAAGCTTTTTATATACACTCAGAAGAAATGATATGTTGTGGCATAATGTTTTGTGACAATGTATGTAGGAAGATACAAGATAAATTTCAACACCAGCTTTACTGCAATGCAGGGTGAATAGGAATGAGCAGGAATCAGGTATACAGCTAACACCAGCACTCGGACTGAACCTATTATTTTTTAATTTTTTAAAAAAAATTTTTATTTATTTAATTATTTTTTTAGCTAGAGTGTTGCAAAGGAGCTGTTTCCCTCCCTGCAAACCTGCCTGGTGTTCAGTTCTGCACTGGTGCAGAAAGAAACTGTAAATCTACACCGAGCTTGCAAAGGGTATATGTGTGCTGTCTTTGAGAACAAACCAGAGAGAGATCTCTGCTACCAACTTGGTGTGCAAACTGGCATTTGCCCTAAAAATGGTAGTTTGCACCTCACGGAACGAACTGCCTGTAATCACATGCCATATGGTTAGATCTCTTTTGGGTCCCGTCTTGTATGCAGCCATTTAGCACAACCCCAAAAATGTTGATGTTCTTACTTAAAAAATTTCAGTTCAAAAAAGGGAGTTTTGTTTGTTTGTTTTGTTTTGGCTGTTATCTCTGCCCTGTGTCCCTGGAGGTAGCATGAAGAAAGGACAGGTGTTTGATAATGCTGTTGAAAAGAAATGTGGGAGATTCTTACTGGTTATGTAAGAACTCAGTGCCCTGTGATAGGAATGGAATTAAAGAGTGATACAGTGTAAGGTAGTCTATTCTTCTTTTTGGCAAAAGGGTATAGGGAAAAAAAGGGAAGTTTGGAACCATATATTTTTTTCATGGACTAGTTTTCACCTACTGGAACTTTCTGTTTTGTTTTTGCTGATGGTATTTAATGAGTATATACTTATGCTAAAGCATTTGGAAAACTGAATTTCAACTGCATCTTACAAACAAACTATATGAATCTTCATCACCAAACTGAGCCTGTGATTATTGCTATTGTGTTGAGACTAGAAGACTACCCAAACCTTTACAAAAGTCCACACTGAACGCCCATGGACTTAGAATTGTATAATCGTAGAATGGTACCCAAACATTGGTCAATGACAAGAACAAATGAGAACACTGTTGCATTATAATCAATGGATATTGATTTATCTGCTGTATCTCGTGTAGCCAACTTCAAATTTGATGAATTTAAAGAGATTCTTAGAGCTGTTGTCAAGTGTGTGTGTGTTAAGAGTAGCTGCATCCAGCGTATTCCTGCACTCCTGGACAGGTGAGTGGAATGATTGCTCTTTATCCTGTGGTAGTTTTGCCCTGCTGGGCAGCTAAACTCCACCACAACTACTCTCTCACTCCTCCTTCTTGAAGGAAAAAAGGGGAGAAAATACAATGAAAAGAGCTTAAGGGTTGACATAATTGGGAGACCACCCATCAATTACCATCACAGACAAAACAGATTCAGCATAGGGATATTAATATAATTTATTGCCTATAACTAGCAGACTAGAACAGTGTATAAATCAAAGCAAATGAAAAAACCTTCCCCCTATCCGCCGTTTCCTACGTCCTCCCCCTGAGTGGTGCAGGGGAAGGGGGGCTGCAGTCAGCCTGTAACACTTCATCTCTGTCGCTCCATGGTTGCTCTCTTCCTCTGCTCCAGTGTGGGGTCCTTCCCACAGGATGTCATCCTTCACAAACTGATCCTGTGTGGGCTCCCCGCAGGCTGCATCTCTTCAAGAAATGCTCCAGTATGGGTCTGTACCACAGCGTCCATCCACCAGGAGCAAACTGCTCCAACATGGGTCTCCCAAGGGTGGCAGCTCCTCTCCACAGGCTGCAGCTCTGTTCTGGAGCCTCCTCCTGCAGGGGTTCTTCATGGGCTGCAGCCTCCTTCAGGCCACATCCACCTGCTGCACCACGGGGTCCTCCATAGGCTGCAGCATGGAGAACTGCTCTGCTGTGGGACCCATGGGCTGCAGGGAGACAGCCTGCTCCACCACGGGTCTCTCTACAGGCCACAGTGGAACTTCTGCTCTGTGCCTGGAGCACCTCCTGCCCTCCTTCTGCACAGACCTTGGTGTATAGAGAGCTGCTTCTCACTACTCTCTCCCAGCTGCTGTTGCACAGCAGTTTTCTTTTTCCCTTTCTTAAATCTGCTCTCACAAAGGTGTAACCAACATTGCTTACTGGCTCGACTATGTCTCTTTTTGAGCTGCCTGGAACCGGCATCTAACACAGGGCAGCTTCCATATTCTTCTCACAAAGGCCACTAGCTGCTCCTCCAGCCCCCCCTGCTACTAAGCCTTTGCCATATAAACCAAATACATATCCCTGTACCCATGCCTTGCTAGTAGTGAGCCTGAACACGAGTTCCCGATAGGTGCATGTGCGCACACACACAGAGCCACAAATGGATCAATACGGGTAGAAGGAGACTATATTTTGTAAGTCTCCACATAACATAGAGAGCATGAATGTGGATGTCTACTAACAGAATATCCCCTTCATGAGTTTATCTGTATACTAGACCTTTGCTCTCTCCAGTTTTGTTCTCTCAGGCCCTTGATGTTTTCGATGTCTGGCATCCAGAGCCACAGTCCCTTTGGCAGCTGGACTTTGGACTAATGGGCTTTCCACGTCTTGTTTTCTGACCTTGGTCCCTCTAGTTTTAGACCTGTAATATTCTGTCTCTCCAGAATCTGTTTTTTCAGGTCTCTTGTCCTGATCAATGTCTTTATGTTTACTACCAAATCACTCACACATATGCGTATGCACACGTAAAAAAGAAAAACTTGAGGCAAGACATAGACAATTTGTCTCAAGGCAGGACATTGTGCAAGGAGGTTGGAGCCAGGCTCTTTCTAGTGATGCCCAGTGACAGGACAATAGGCAATTGGCATAAACTGAAACACAGGAGGCTCTGTCTGAACATTAAGGAAATCTTCTTTACTGTGTGTGTGACTGAGCAATGGAACAGGTTGCCCAGAGAAGTTGTGGAGTCTCCCTCCTTGGAGACATTCAAAAGCCATCTGCCTATGGTCCTGGGCAACTGGCTCTAGTTGGTCCTTCTTGAGTACGGGGGTTGGACCAGGTGACCTTCAGAGATCCTTTCTAAACTTGACAATTCTGTAATTCTGTGAAAGGAAAGCAGTTTAATAAAAAGGCAGGACAGACTGTGGTAACTGTGTACAGTGGTTGACCAGACAAGTGCATATGACCTTTTATTTGCTCATTTTCCTGTGTTTATCTCCCTTTACCTTCCTTTGGGCGTTTCCCTAAACAAACTGTAATAAATCCTGTAATATCCCCAATTCTTTTAATTCCAGACTTTCCATCCATCCCCAGGCTTTCCAAATTCTATATTCCCTTATGCTATAGTCCCCTTTATTTTGCATAGCACTGAGGAAAGTTCCTGGGACTATGACTCAGTCATTCACCTTTGATAGTATTAGGGGATGACTGATTCAGAAGAATCAGGTTGTCAGCATTCTCCACCCTGTCATTGTTCCTCTGATCACAGTCTGTCTCTGTTGTGAACAGACATTAGCCAGATATCCTTATTGTGTACTTATCAGCTTCAGTTTATTCGTAGTTTATCCTTGCATTTGGAGAGAAGTGATGGATCTGGAGACCTTATAGATACTGATTTTTTCAGAGAGAACTTTTTTGAATGCTTTCTTCAGTTCCTGATTCCTCAGACAGTAAATGAAGGGGTTTAAGATGGGAGTGACAATAGTATACACAGCTGACACAAGCTTATTCAAGTCATAAGGATCGATCTTCTTGGGCCGAGCATACATAAAGAGGGCAGCTGAGAAGAAAATGGTGACCACAGTTAGGTGGGAAGCACACGTGGAGAAAGCTTTCTTCTTACTTTGGGTGGTGGGGATATGCAGAATTGTCATGATAATTAATAGGTAGGAGACAATAGTGATGGAGAGAGGAACAAGCAGGATGAATAAAGCCAACACAAAGTCCACTGTCTCTGCCACCGACATATCAGTGCAGGCGAGGTTTAGCACTGGGCTGATATCACAGAAAAAATGGTTAATTACCTGGGGACCACAAAACTCCAACTGAGAAATGAAGGAGATCTTGATCAAAGATACAGTGAACCCACTGAACCAGGAGAGCGCTATCAGGTATATGCACATTTGGTATGTCATGATGACCAGGTAGCGCAATGGTTGACAGATAGCCACATAGCGATCATATGCCATGGCAGAGAGAAGGACACATTCAGTGCACATGAAGGAGCTGAAGAAAAAGATCTGGGTCATGCATCCCACAAAGGAAATACTTCTGTCTTCAGCAATGAAATTTGCCAAGAGTTTGGGGATAATAACTGAGATGTACCAGACCTCAATGAAGGAGAGATGACCAAGAAAAAAATACATGGGTTTGTAGAGCTCATGGTTTGTTTTGATTAACGAAATGATGACCACATTCTCCATAACAGTTAAAATGTATGTCAGTAGTAGTACTATGAAGAACAATACCTTCAAGTCCATTAGGGCTGGGAATCCTAGCAAGAGGAACATGTTGATCTGGGTAGAATTCTCTTCCATAAAGAGAAGTGCAGAGCTGAGCCTTGGAGATCAAATACAGAACAGGAAAGGAAAAAAATAAATAAATAAAATAAGGCAAAAAAAAAAAAAAAAAGAAAAAAGAAAAAAAAAAAAGGAGTAGAATATGGAAAAGAGGCTTGAAAATTAAATGCTTATTTCTGAAAAAAAATTAAAAAATATTCTTATCCCTAGATAGGATTTGTGTGATTAAGCTTTATATGACTACTGTGTAGGTTTCTCTTTCAGTCAATGAAAAGAAACAGGCAGCTTATCTGACCTTAGGATAAGATAAACTTCATCAAAAGTGCAGGTTCAGTAATAACAAGGAAAATGTAGATGACTAGTCCAGCTGTAAGCATCCATGCAGAAACCATTTAAAGTACATTCTGATGAATCTTGCCCCTAATTCCTGAATTCATTTTAATTCTATTTTATGAAAAAAATTATTCAAATTTTCAAAAGCATTAATGAGAGATAGATAAATTAATCATCTTGCCAATTGTATTCAGGCATCTCAGAATTGTGATCTTGAAGTTACTGGAACAAAAGAGCTAGTCATCCCGTATCATTATTTTTTCCTATTAAAACAGTTTGCATGTAGAATACTTATTTTTTTGAAATATGAAGACAGAAGAATTGGCACATTTCTATAAGATAATGTTGAAAATATATTGATGGAACATTTCCTGGGAAAGTAAGAAATTCAAAAGAGTTTATTTCATCTCTAGAAGAAAAAAAAATAAAGAGGATACAGAAATTTTAGTTTGTGGATAGTAACCACATTTTTTAAATTTTATTTTCTTAATTTTTTTTTTTTTTCATGAGAACTTTCGTTATGAGTCTTTGAGATGCTTGAGGAAAAATAATTTTGATGAAGGACATTTTTTGCTAATTAAAAAGAAAAAAATGGCTAAAATAATTTGAATTAAAATCTCTCACTAGTTTACAGGTCTGAATCACAAAACCCTATCAGACTTTATCCTGCAAACCCACCATTGTAATCTATATAAACCCACAGAACATGTAACACTTTATGTTGTGATAGATGCATCTTTTGTGTCTAATTTTGGATCCATTTAATTCATTTTAAAAGCTGATTTTTCTCCCCATTTACTGAATTGTATGATTTCTCAATGATCAGCTAAAATTTAGATAGTTACACTTTTCAGATCAAGCCAATTGCCTTTAAAAAGAACTCAAGAACAATAATCTTATTAGCAGCTGTAGTCATTTTATTGTCATCAATTTATGCTTTGAAAGTTCAGAGCATCACCTGGACCCTGTTAAGTCAAAAACTGCTGAAAGAATGTATTTGGCACTAAAACCTGAAGTGAAATAATTGCTATTGACTTATAAATTAATGACTTATATAAGTAATAAATTTATAAATATGATTTATAATTGTTTCAAAGCACTACCTCATTATTATTAAAATTAAAGCATTGATATTATTGCTCTTTTCAGTTCACAGTTTTGATTGAATATAAATACAGTATAAACATATATAAAAACGTAACTTGTATGTATAAAAATCACAAAACAGGACTTAGCATTTCTCTGTAAAGATGATCACCAATACAACTTGTCTTACTTAAGCCTGGTATGAATATATATACACCACTTCTCCAAAATTAACTCACTGGGTACAAAA